GATGAGAATGCCTCCAGAGACGCCGTGCCGTTCCCGACATTTTCTGCGGATCAGTCCGCCACAGACGATTGCAGGCTGGACTCATCGGGAGCATATGACGTGCGAGGATACGGTGCGGCTTCGCGTGGGCAGCACCTGCGACTGGTCGGTTGACTCATCGGCGTTCGGAGCGGGACGTTCAGAGACAGGCTTCTTGGAAGGCGAATCAAAAGCGAAGGTGTCGTCGAGGCCGTCCTTGGTGGCCGGGAGGGGCGAGAGTGGGGCGGTGAAGCTCGACTCGAAATCCTGCAGGTGCTGGCGGACGATAATCTCGGCTTGGGAGTCGGAGTGTCTGAGGTTCATACTGGGGCTCTCGAAGTAGCTGCTTTCGGGGACGGCGAGGGAGGGTGGGTGGAGCGGGGGGATGTTCTCGGGCCTGAGGGAGGCGGCGTCGGGGGTAGGGCGGTGTTGCTCGACGTTTTGTTTTGAGGGGGATATGGGGTCGTCATCGGAATCGAGTTTTCGGGCGGTGGATGGTCGGGAGACGGGCTGACGGCCCTCATCGTGGTCGTCCATGTCGGCGTGTTGGGGCAGCCGTCAAGGATTCGGGGTGTGGAAATCGCAGCAGCAACAGGGTTGGGCGGATGCGCAAGTACATAGGCCAATTGTTTGGGGCTTGTGGTCGTCAGGGCTTCATGGTCAATTGAATCGAGTATGTAGAGGCCTCTGTCTAAAAGGCATAGTATCCCGGCTCAGGGTTGGACATCAACAATGCGCGGTTCGAGTCTTGGGGTCTGGCAGGTCGTTGCTGAGCTTGGGTCGCAGTCGCACCTTGGCTTAAATCCTGGAGTTTGTCGCGCGCTTTCGGTGCTCGGTTGGCTTCGTCTGGTCCAGGGTGGTCGAGACGCCCAAAAAGCTCCGGGGGGACGTGGTCCCTTTTCGGGCCTCGTGCGCAACCCCACCATCACCCCGGTTCCACTGCTTAAGGTAAGGCCACTGTAATCTGTAGTTACAGATGTACATACCAATACCGTATTCCAGAACCAAAACATCGATTGTGAAGTTGTGAAGTGAACACAAGCTACCTATCTACGAATACTTGTACACTACCAGACACTCAAACAACCCTAGATACCAGGTTTGAGACGTCACTAGAAACTAACTTTGGCAAAATATCTTGAAAACGACCTTGAAAATCACCCTGGATCTCTCACTTTTCACAAGAGTAGCTTGTAAGACCGGAAGAGTTTTCGTGGTTAGGACTGCCCGAGTCTCTGTGTACCTATCTAAGATTTCGAAGGTGCTAAGTAACCTTGGCTCGCCCTCAAAATGCAGATCATCTTTCCCATTACCAGGTACCCAGCCTCCTATCCTTTTTCAAGAAGAGTCAAGAGGCGAAGAGCAGTGGCCCTATTAACATTGTCAATGGCGATTACCTCTGTACTCGGCTACAGCAATGGTCCCGAATAAAACAGGCAAACTCACCTGGCAGTTGGTGCAGTAGAGCTCATTTTGGACAGCCGTCCTAAGGCACCTTGAACTGACTTTGCACGAAAGATGGCATATAACGCACAGACATGACCGCTCTGGTGCAGCGGCCGTAGCGGACCCAAGTGGTGCCACAGAGTTCTGGGTATCATGTTGGGGGCAATTAGCAACCTAGAAAGACAAGGACGTATCAACCTCATCATCCTTCATCCAGTCTCCTTCGGGAGGCGGAGGCCGGGCTCATATCAGGGGATAACTCACCAAGCAGCTTTGGCAATAATCTGCTTGCCCGTGTGGGCCTTTTTCTCGCACTCCCTGTTCTGTTCCATGGCCCGGCAGAAAGAGAATGTGTTACGGCATTTGCACGGGTTTCTAGATCCTCGGATGCGGGGGAGGGGGCTGAAGGTAAAGATTCTCGCGTTGCAAATGCCATCCTAGAGAAATCGAACACGAAATATTAATATGGGATAGGCGTTGCGTTGCTGATCACACGGGCAAGAGAAGACGAAACTCACACAACCTGCGCAGCAGTCGCTGTACTGGCCCGGTCCCGAGCTCGATGCTACCGCTAGGCAAAAGTCGGGTCGCCGGCAACCGCCCGAGCTTTTGCACTTGCAACGGGGGGCTAAATTAGTTGCAAAAGCAGTGAAAGCACTTGGAAGGGCATGAGTGGTGGTGGTGGTGCCGCTCCTGTCGCCGCCGGAGACACACTTCTGGGTCTAGATTAGGTTGGGAAAAGGAGTCAGCTGCATTGAACGTGAAAGACAGGGGCTGGGGAAGAACCTACGCATCCTTTGCAGTGAATGGTACTGCTGGGACTTGTTATTCTTTCGCAATACAATTTGTTTTGGCAGTAGTATGCTAATTCGGGCAGTAGGCAGAAACACTGCTTGCTCGACATCGTTCCTTTACTGGTAGTGTGTGATGGTAGCCAATTGCGTATGTTATGGTTGCCACTTGAAGAGCCAAGGCTGGGGGCTAGGCTATCGCATTCCTGACGTTAAAGGTGTCTGTGACCAGCTGTGGGTGTAAGAAAGCAATGATACCTAGATACTTCGCAGAGTCTAAAGCGGATTCACGAGTGACGATATTAGCTTACGCCTGTCTATTCAGTTTAAAAACCCGAATTGCTTATTTTGTTAAAGGCATTCCTTCCTCTAAGCCGCAGAGTAACCGCTTGCGAAGGTAGGAGCGGATGATTGTCAGTTCAAGGGAAGGCTCCAGGCCGGCGACGGACGGTTAACCTCCCACTCACTGGCTCAGAGCTGCTCCTTTTCTTTGATCGGGGTGATACTTGAGTAGTAAAGGGCGAGCCGTCAAGAGTTTTCCAGACTCGGTATCGGGGGGTAAAGTGACCTCGTGGTATTGACAACAATACATTCACGCTGACTTGAGCTTACAATGAGCTTGCCATATCCACGACTTCATCAAAAAAAGAAATGAAGAAAAGCCCCGATTCCAAAACACGCTTGATTTAGAAAATCTATTCCAAAAATCAGCCACCTGCAAGAGCAGGGCTCCGGCCTTCCGGCCCTCAAACGCCTCAACCTAGGCCATACCAGGTCGGCTCCTCACCAAAACCAGTGTTGTCCAACTCGAGGTACCTGACCTCTCGGCGACCCCTAAAATCCACATCGCTTAGCAGTCAATGTATGTACACAAATAAATACACCACGACCTTCCAAAAACGACGGTCTCCCCACCCCCTAACACCCCCCTCTCCCCAACACGACCGATCCCAACCCCCTTTCACATCCCCGGCTCGTCCCACCGCCCACACTCAAAGATCTACCACCCCAGCGCCCATCCGTCAGCAAACCAAGACCACCAAACCACCAAACCACCAGCCAACCTCAACAACAACAACGACCAAAATAACCAGCGCAACACGAAATCAAGGTACGGGCAGCGCAGCCGCAAAAACTCACCTCACACAAGCTACACAAGTCCCCCTCCACAAACATAATCGTCTCCTCGCACAGGCCCCCCGCCCGGCACGTCCATGTCCCCTGGCAGACACACGGGTGGTGGTCGCTAAGCACGCTGTCGACACCTACACCCACACCGTCGCTGGGGGCTGGGAAGAAGAGGCTGGGGGGGCTGTTGTCGTTGGTGGTGTCGTTGTTGGTGGTGTTGTTGGTGGTGTTGTCGTATGTCGTTTGGGGTGGCTCTTCCCGGGCCGTTAGAGGTGGGAGGGGGGTGTCCGGTTGTGGTTTTGGTTGGAGTTCTGGATAGGGGAGTTGTTGCTTTTGGGGGGCGGCGTCATCGGTGGTTGGGGGCACGGCAGGGGGTTGCTGGTAGGCGGTGGTGGGCGCGCCGGAGAGCTGAGCCGCCGGCGAGGTGTGGTTGGTGGTTGGGAGGTGCGCGGGTTGGTGGTGGGAGGTGCTGGGGCCACCGTGTGGTTCGTCTGCCTGTCCGGCATGGTCGCTGGACGGGGGCGCGGAGTGCCGGTAGAAAGTGATGGGGTCGCTGTGGGGTTGGCTCGGCTGCTCGTGGGGGGCGAGGGGGCGTTGCCGGTAGGAAGCGACGGGGTTACTGTGTAGTCGATCCCCCCGCTCGGTGTGCCTGGAGGTTGATGCAGACGCGGGGTTGGAACTGGCGCTGGTCACGGGAGACCTGTCCTTTGCCCTTTCGGCGATCATAAAGAGCCCGGTCGCTCTAGAGATCTGTTTAAAGTACCTGCAAGTGTTGATATATTGGGCTCTACAGGAACGGATCTGTACAAACGGGGCAAACAAACCGTTAGCATACGGATATATAAGGTATACTGCAAATAGCAGAGGTATCTAAACACCGGGAAACTTACCTCGCATTCGTGGCAGAACCCTCCCTCTCCACAGCCGAATCCCTCGCAGTGTGCTGGTGACTCGCAACCGATAATATTGTCGTGGGCGCATTTACATTTGCGCCGGGACGTTTTCTGTCTCCAGTTTACGTCCTTCGCCTTTTGAAAAGCCTCCATTGCTTGACGTCGGCATTTGTTGTCCTGAGTAATTCGCATGTTAGAACCGTAACAAGGTCAAAGTTAAGGTTCGCTGGGGGGTAAACTTACAAAACAACTTTCACAGTAGTCGCCGATACCAGCGCCCCCTGGGCCTAGGCACTCGTCGGGTTGTTTGCAGCCTTTCCCGAGCGGCGTAAAGTCTGGGGGGAGGCACTTGCATTTTGTAGAGGACGTGGAAGGGGATTCCATGTCTGCGGAGTGTCGAATAAAATATGAAACAAGTATTGCGATGAGCAGGCGAAACGCAGATACCTGGGTGGGTAAAGGTAGCTCGTGAAACTGAAGCTAGAAGCGGGTTGTTGGAAGTATGGCGTGGCCTTTTTGTGGGCAAGCAGAGCGATGGATAACGAACTAAGGCGATGAAATGTAGGTACTTTATATATGCGTTAACGTCGCACCTGGAGGACCGTGTCCTAGGTTTTAGGGCTCAATGGTCGGGCACAGTCGTCATGTGCAAAGCCTTGCAGATATTTGCTGGCAAGTTTGGCTTTGAGCAAAATCAGGCCTACAGGTACCCAGAAAACACATCACTATAAAAACGTCATGCGGTTGCGCACGTTTCCGAACTGAGATCGGATGAATGTTGAGGGAGAGGCGTGATGTTTTTGGACATAGAAAGAATAACCACATCGACATCAATGTTGACCACAAGACCTCTTTACCTAGAGATAAGGTACATGTAGTCATTGCTACTGCCAGCCTGTTGTTTATGTATCTAGGCGGCCTCAAGCGACGCCCGGCAACACAATCAACGCACGGCTATGAAAAGGGGGTTCGCCGAGGGAACAATATTTGTGTACTCCGTGACCTATTCTCCTTTATCATCATCCACGTTTTGGTTTTACAAAGCCAGGTTGGCCGGGGCAAGGGGACATCTGAGTATCAACTGGCGTAGACCTCGTCCTCTGGTCGGTATTAGGAATTGATTGACACGCTCAATTTCAAAGCAGTTATGTCGAGCTTCAAGTTTAATAGCAAATATAATTGCAAGCAGAGGTAAATGCCCTTAAAACCGAAACTCACATTCACGTTTCGTGTATTTGCAACGATGACATAATCCGCTCCGTTGAAAGAATAGCAATCAGACTAATCTACCTAGGTATGGTTGGTACAGCAGGATCTGACCTACCCATCTGTAATAGGGTCGTACAGCTGGATAGCTCGTGATTCACAGCACGTGTAATTTCATTCTCCACACGTGCCAACCCTCTAGTGCACTCGGCTCGACATTGGGTTGGTGATAGCCTGATAGGAAGACTGGCCTATACGGTCTAGACCTTCAGGTAGAACTTACCTGTGGAGAGTATAATGCCTGGCGCTTACATGGGACCTTCTTGACTATGTGAAGGAACTTGGGGATCGGGGCGGATCTAGTGAGGCTTTATGAAAGGTGATGAGGGAATGTTTACAGCCTCGAGCAGGATTGCCAGTCGTGGTGTTTACCTCAGCCCATCCCTGTCAGCTCCGTCGATCGCCGCTTTCAGATTCCCATAAATAGAACGCCAAGACCCGGCCCGATCCCGGGTACTGAGCCCGGCCACAATACCGGCTCATACCGGCCGCAATACCGGCCGCATTCGGGTCTCAAACACGGCGCTGACCAACCCGAGTAACTGTATCATGTGGCTCGCATTCGTGAAACTCGAGTAATTTGCTGAGAGAAAAGGAACGGGCATATGTCCAGAGGAATACATCTGTGGCTGGAATGGAAAGCTTGTTTTTGCACGCCAGCGGGCCTCCACAGAGGCTGCGCATCCGGACTCGACGCGGGCTGCAGGCCGTGGACCTGTCTCACGCCCGCAGCGGCCTCACCCTCGAAGCAGCAAACGCAGAGAGTGCTAGGCACCCGTGTGAGCAGATCCGAACTTCGATGCTTCAGCTCAGCTCATTCAGCCAACAATTCGTATAACAACCCTGGAACCCTACCACCCCCTCCAGAGTGGGGTCTCCCTTTCCAGTCCTCATCTCGACAACTACAACCCCTTCTCTCCGTGCTACATATCAAGAGCCAGCCAGCCAGCCAACCAACCCCCTTCACACCAAACCCACCCACTCACCAACCAACCACCCCCAACCCCCGCAAAACCACCACCAAAATGGGTTGCGGCCTCTTCGGAAAAAAGAAGTCCAAGAAGACCGGCGGCGCTGGCGGCGCCGGCTTCGCCCCCCGCCCCGTGCAGCAGACGGTACAGGGCGGCAAGGTCGGGTACCAGCCGACCGAGGCGGCGCTGGCGAACCAGAAGAAGTACCAGGAGGACTTCCGCAAGCAGTACGGCGGCGACCCCAACGACCCGGAGTTCGTGCGCAGCCTGGCGGCGAACCAGGCGCTGGCTGGGTCCGCGGCGAATTGTGAGTGGCCTTTTTTTTTTTTTTTTTTTCTTCTTCTCCCTGTTTTGTGGTGATGCTTGGCTTGTGTTTTGGGTGTTGTTGCTTGTTGTTGTTGTGGTGGTTGTTCCGGTTACTAATGTGGTTGTTGTGTGTAGTCGCCGTTCGCAAGATGGGCCCTCAGGGCCAAAGGCTTGAGCCCTATGCGCAGAGGGGAGCCAACATGGCCGCCACCCAGTTCACCAAGCAGCAGTTCAGGGACCGCCAGCAACAAGGTATGTCGCTATTCATCCCCGAAGAGTGTGGTACTTGTGTATCAGTGTCCGGGGCATGACTGACGAGATGTTGCAGAGCCCACTGGCTACTAAGGACAGCTTGCTAGAAGACTAAGGGTCCGCCCCAAGTCCGTGTCGTTTTTGCAGATCTTGCCCGTTGGGGATCTGTTGTTTGGCTTAGTTTTGTTCTGTTTCGAGCTCAGGTGTTGAATAGAGTTCAGTTGTGTTGAAGCGCCTTTTATACCCCTGCCGTTGGAAACAATTGCTGGATATTTCGATTCACATTAAGCATGAGTGCCCTACCCATCCCACCCATCTGTCGTTGCCTCAGCGCTCGAACTCATTCCACAATATGTACACATGTCAGTCATAAACTCCCGACACCAGCTGACGCTTAGATCAGCCAACACAAATGTCCCCCATGAACCCAACTCCGTCTATCTATGCATGGGGAAAGGTCCAAAATAAGCACAGGAATACCCAACAAACGGTAAATAGCCCCCCCAAAATTCCCAAAGCACAGGCTTTGGCATCTCCAAAAGATCACATCCTCACCAAAACACCCCGCCGCACATACATCAATCACATCACGAATCATCCGCCAAACACCTGATACGCCAATAACCATAATCCACAGCAAGAAAATCGCGCCCCACCAGCCCAAACGCAAACACCGCCTGCCAGCTCTGGCAAATACCACGCTGCTGCAGCCAGGCCAGCGTCTCAAGCGTCTGGCCGGTCGGCTGGGGGTCGGCGCCAAACACAAACAGGTTGCAGGTGGAGCTGACGGAGCCGTCGGGCCCCCACAGCTGGATGGACACGACGACCAGCCCGACCAGCCACAGCACAAACAGGATGAAGCCCCCGATCATGACGATCGACGGGAGCAGCCGCCGCTGGAAGATGAGCCACAGCAGGACGAGGATGAAGGCGACGTTGAGGGAGGCCACCGTTATGTAGTAGGGGAAGTACCTGGATGGGGGGGGAGAGTGGTGTTAGCGGGTGATTTGTGGTGTAGGGGCGGGGTGAGTTGGGAGGGGGGATGTAGAAGGGTGGACGCACCATGGTATTGGCAGCAAGAGGACCTGCTGGATCTGGATAAAGGTCGCAAACACGCCAATGATGAGGCAGGAAGCGACCAACATGATCAGCATCCAGAGGTTGAGCTGGACGGCCGGCCAGTGGTATTTGTGGACGCGCTCGATGACGCGGCGCTCGTAGACGAGCGAGCCGCTCGTTACTGTGGACGCCATGGCGATGGTCTATCGGGGTGATGGATCGTGATCACAGGGTCAGTGCTCGGATGCGGACCTTGGCGGGTCGGTGTTTAAGGTTCGGAATGCGGCTTCGGCTTCGGCTCCGGGGCCGGGTCGTGCTCCGGGTTCCGGTTCGTGCGGTGGTGGATCGCCGGGGAGGGCGGGGCCGTCTGAAGGTTGACGGGAGGTGAACGGGTGCTTGAAAGCGGTGACGATGGAGGAGAGGTGTCGCGGTGTTGCGCAATCCCTTCTCGTACTTGATTGCTGCGTGGCTGTCCAATGCGTTGTCAATCTGCACTGTCGCACAATGGCTTGTCTCGACGTGCGAGTCGCAGAAGCCCTCGAGCGCAAACGATGCCCAAGACCAGCCCGCAGAAAAATAATTCCGTATCGCCTCAGGCCACTGGCCTCTGCTAAACTTTTGCAGTGAGGCAAATGCCTCGCCTGGTTGCACGAGGAGCAGGCGCCACGTCGTCGGGAGGATGTGGGGAGGTACGGATATCAAGAGGTTGGCGACAAGCTGAGAGCAGCAATCGGTTCCGTTTGGTTTGGTGTTGACGCGTTCCCCACAATTCCGTGGAGCAAAGCTTGGTGCGGTGGCTGGGAAAAGAGGCCGGGTCTGGAAAACAGGTCGGCTGGGGAAGAGGACGATGAGATAAAGGAACGCAAAGCGGCAATGAGGAAAGACGAGTTGCCTCTGAGAGGGAGTGCGACCTGATGCGACGGATGCGACAGGAGAAGTGTTGGTTCCTCGAGGATTTCCGCGCCGCGCCCGCCGACGCCAGACTCGTTGATTCGAAGTGCGGGAGCTCGAAGACCTTGGCTTGGCAGACCCGTTATCCCTATCGGTGCCTGACTTGGATCACACCGTGGGGGGCAGGGGTTGATTGAATTGGAGTTGCGGGACAAGGCGCAAGGCGAAGACAATGGAGAAGGCGAAAGTGCAGAAAAAGTGAAGAGGGGGGTTCAATTTCAATTCTATCGGACGATTGGGCAGAAATAGGCCCAATATGACAGGTCATCCAAGTCAAAAAGCTCACAGCTCACCCGGATCATCATCGACAACTCATCACGGCCGATGAGGCTTGCGAGATCGGGCTGGTTCGTGGTTCATGCGTGCATTTGGTGGGCGCGGGGTGGTGGGGCTGCAGGCTGTTGGTTGGTGGTTGGCGCTGGCCGGGCTCCCTAAAAATGCCGTGGCGGGGGCACCCACATGAAACCATCGAGGAACTGCCCGAGAGATCCCCCTGCGGCGATGAATAACTTGGGACGGCGTGCAGGCTGCTAACTATCGTACCGGCGGGTTACATATGCGGCGTAAAGTCGTTCTTGTGCTTCTCATGGTGCTTCTATAGGTAACTATGTATGTATAGATCCTGTAGCCACCTCGCACTCACTCTACTATGACATACGCACATGTATAATGTAGATACAGACATCGACGACAAATCGTGGAGCACGCCGAAAAAGTCATCCAGAAATATTCTTTCGTCCCGCGATAACCCAAATCCCAGTCCAACCCGCCGTGTGAACCGCCGCTGTGCGCCGTGACATCCATAAGTCTGTATGTGACGGTAAAATCTAACTTAAGCCCACCAAACCCGTGCCGCAATCCGCTCGCGTTTTACCCATCATCTTCCCCCAACCACCACCCCGCCTCACAGCAGGCTCTCGCCGAGCGCGCAGCGGACGATAGAGCAGCCAGCGCGGACGGTCTCGTGGGCACCAACGTCGACATCCGACGCCAGGCGCGGGTTGACCTCGACGAGGTCGACGGCCACCAGGCTGCCGGTCTGGTGCACCGACTCGCAGATGTAGTCGCCCTCGCGAAGGGTCAGGCCGCCGCGCACCGGGGTGCCCGTCGAGGGCGCCCACATGGGGTCGAGCGCGTCGACGTCGAAGGATAGGTGGATCGGGGTGTCGTTGCCGATGTGCGCGAGCGCCATCTCTACGACGCGGCCGATGCCGTGCCTGAGCAAAAAAAAAAAAAAAAAAAACCGAGGTTAGCTGGGGTCTATGCATTGGGGATTTATTCCTCTGGCATTGCTCACCTGTCAATGTCAAACATGCTGAAGGCCTTGATCCCGTTCTCCCGCAGGATCTTCTTCTCCCCGGCATCGACGTCGCGCAGCCCGATGTACACCAGCTTCTTCACGCTGATCCGGTGCTCGTCCTTCAGCCACCCGAAGAATTCCTCCTTCTCCTCCCGCGCGAGCCCCGTCAGGAAGCTCACCGGCATACCGTGGACATTCCCGCTGTCGCTGGTCTCGGGGGTGTTGATGTCGGCGTGCGCATCGACCCAGATGACGGCAATGTCCCTACCGAGCCGTTCACGCACGGCCTTTGCGCTGCCGGCGATGGTGCCGATGGCGATGCTGTGGTCGCCGCCGAGGGTGAGGACGAGACGGCCCTCGCGGGCGTGCGAGTAGACCTGGTCGGCGATGCGGCGGGTGACGGCGGAGACGGAGCGCGGGTTCTTCATGCCGCGGTGGGGCGGGTCCTGGTCGGCCGAGGTGGCCACCAGGTCCGGGTACAGGTGCACGGCGTCGTGCCCGTGCAGGTTGTAGCCCAGCTCGTCGCGCAGCTGCGTCAGCAGGCCCGACTCGATCAGCGCCGTGGGCGCCGCGTCCACCCCCGGCTTGCCCTGCCCGCCCGAGAAGCCGACGGCGACGATGCCGAGATCTTCTGGGTGGCTGAGGAACTTGGACTCGATCATGGAGGTGTTCATCTTGCCGAAGCAGCGCAGGGTGGATTTGGTGGAGGCCTGAGTCGCGAGCGGGTCCTCGCTGTGGTCGCTGACGCGGGAGGGAGACATGAAATGCGCAAGTACGGAGGGTACGGTACGGGAGTGATGTCAGGGGAAGGGTTCTTGGGAATTCGACAGACGCTGTTTGCTGCTTGCTGAAGAGATCTGGGAACTGTCAGAACCGAACCCTCCCATTAAAAGCAAAAAACCCCTCCCTTCCAAAAAAAGCCATCAACAAAGATACCGGCTTATCGCTGCCCTTGGCTGGCTGAGCCTGGCTCCCTGGATTTACCAAACCCTCACCACCATGTCACATGGCACATGTCAAGCAGGGAAACCTGGGCTTCGGTACGGTAGTGCAGATCTGCGTGACTTCATGCCAAGGGTTCCCGCCCCGGAAGGCTAAGCGCCTTGGCGGCCGGCTGAGCCGGTGGGGCCGAGTTTGTGCGGGCTGCAATCGATGCGCGAGGGGTGAAACAGGAGCCAACAATAGAACCTCGAAACACACCCACCTGAGTCTGTTGGATTGGGCCGGCTGATTATGGCACAGCAAGAGAGAGGCCGACGGAGTGTAAGATGAAGCGAGCTCGATGTTGTTAATGTTAATGTTTGCTAGAGAAGCACAGAAGCGAAACAAGAAGAATAAACCAGTAAAAGGAAGTCTACGCAGCAACCATTGGTGAGAGGGTTAAGTTCGTTGTCTACAGAAAAGAAACAACAAACAACCCCCATCAGCGAGCAAAGAAAGAAAGATAAAGGCTAGAATTTATACCTCCCCAACGGACCCGGCCAGGGATCCACTCAGACACCACGAACACGCCAGCAGCCAGTCGCTCGGTCCTTTTCCATCGCTCGCATCCCTGATTTTTTCTCTTCTCCCCTTGTCAGCGCCTATGCCGTCAAAATCACTCACGTGGAGAGGGTTCGGTGGCCGCAGAGCGTCTAGTACGACATCATCTCGGAGGCGACTGCCGTTAAGTTATAAGTGCGATTGCAGTTAATGGCAGGCGTTAATTTTGGGCGGATACCGCCGGCAATCGACGGCCCACCCGCAGGCCGCAACCACCACTCACGGCCGCGTATTCCTTTCACCGTTTTCTCCTCGCTTCGCAACGCCCGCTGCGGCCGTCAGGCTTACCGCTGAGTGACGACCACGGGGTTCGTTTCTTAGGTAAGAGAATGCGCTCAATCTGGCTGGGATCTGGAATGCGGGTTTTTGAGGTGACTTGTGTCACCGGACTGCGTTCATAGCGGGATGACCCGGAGATGTAAGGAATGGGGGTTCGGCCGCCATCCTCGGAAAGGAGAAAAACCGAAGGAGATAAGCCCAGGGCAGCCCTAACCCGCGGCAAGATTGCTCAACTCGGCCTGGCCGTTGTACTCTACGATAACATTGTAACGCCAGATCTGGTACCCCCATGATCAGCGGCTGACGGCCCTCAAATGCAGGAAGCCCGATCCATGGCCCTGACGTGATGCCCCGTGATTTGTGTCCCGCCGTCCAATCATACTGGGGGGAGGCGCAAGCACCAGACCACCAGTCAACCACGTCTCGATCAACTCTGCTTGTCAAGTGTAGTGCAGCCACCGCATTCACTGCAAATCCCCAACCCACCCCATCACCTCTCTTCTATCATCCACCACGCGCGCATACTCCAGCAACAACCTCAGCACATACACCTGCATATCCTCACGACGGAGCACCTTCCCCGCCCACTCCCTCCCCGCCCTCGCAATCCTCTCCGCGACGGCATCCCTACCCCCCTTTCCACCCACGCCAACAAAATACTCCAACACGCCATACCAGTCCCCAAAACGACTATCCATCGGTACAAAGTGCTTCCACGCGACCAGCCGCGCATCGTGCCACTCGCGCCATAGTGTGGCCTTGATGGGCAGCGACGTGGAGCGCAGGAAGCCGAGGTAGCGGCCGCTGAAGGAGTTGCCGTCGATGTCGGGGAGGTATTTGTGGCGGAATTGTTCAGCCATGGGCATCGCCGGGGCCAGGGTGAAGTAGGGCGCGGTATAGTTGCAGCTGGGCCTGGCATCCGGGTACAGGCACATTAGGTCTGTGAGGGCGATCGAGGTGGTTGAGGAAATCCAGTCCGTGAAGGCGGGGGAGGAGGGGGAGGGGAGGTGCCGGTAACGCTTGTCGGGCAAGGCGAAGTTGGGTGGGAGCTGGGGTGTTTGTGACGATGATGGTGGTGCGGTGAGGCTCAACTGGGTCGCGTTGTTCATGGCGACGAAGCGGTGACGCTGGAAGGCACGCCAATTCGTGGGCCTGTTGGTACCGCCTGTCGCGACACCGCGCCAAATGGCCGTGGATTGTTTGGCCGACCAGGGAATGGAGGCTCCCTCCGCACCCATAAAGCGTTCCTCCTCGTTCCAATACATGGGCGCTGGTAGGAGGATATCGTTGTTGACGGCCAGTTTCGACCCACCAAAAATGGGTAGGAGGGATTTGGTCGCGGAAACGCTGAGGGGCTCGACGAAAATACCTTCGAGGGCTTGCAGGTCCGGCTGATGGCACACGGTAGTGCTTAGTGTGTAGTTGGCTACGTAGCCGTCTTGCATGTGTGCCAGGCTGAAGGGACTAGCGATGGCGGGGGTCTGATTGAAGTCAGTTACGATCGCGGCCTTTTGGGCTGCGCTAGTGGGAGGACAGCCGCGGCGGGCGATGAGCCAGTAGTGCTCTGCGACCAAGGTTAACATATCGCATCGCGTATAGGGGTGCAAACAATAAGGTGAGCCTACTGTCATGCTCCCAGGTTATTTCCTGAGCCTCTCCTTTCTCCGGCGGCGCCTGTCCAAGCGGTGGCAGCTTCCCAAACTCCGACACAACCTTCTTCACATCTACCATCTTCCTCGTCTTAACAGCCTTGTGCATATGCCGGTCAATCTCTTCCCACGGCACCACCATCCTCGGCTCATCCATCGCATTGAGGGCCAGATCCATATCTGGAAGTAAGTGTTCGATCGTTTTGATCATATCCAGCCAGATCTGCGTCCAGAACCAGCCGCTCCCAGTGGAGGCTTTGTAGTCGCGAACTTCGATGCGCATTTCGAACTCGCGGGCGTTCCGGCGTATCTGTGCTGGTTTGAGGGCCCAAAACGGTTCAAGATCGTGGTATATCTGGTCCCAGAAATCTTCGACGATGATTGCGTTCTTATTATCCTTTGCAAACTTGTGCCACTCGTCGAACCCCGGGGGCGGGTGTCGACCCCGCCGTTTGCGGTAGGCGGCCGCCGCATCTGCGAGGTTCTGGGTTTCTTTGGATGTCGTGGTTGTGAACTCTTCTTCGGCCGCCTTGATCAGCTTGTCAATGGGGTGTTCATTGGGGAAGCACCAGCGACCCAGTGGCGTCGAAAGCAGGAGGGGGCCGATCAATGAGAAGTCGATGGGCTCGGCGAGGATATAGAGGGTGAGGGTGAGAAGGAGAGCCGGTATGACATAGCGGAGGACTGTGGATGGCCGACGAGGGAATGCCATTTTGCTAGATGGTCATGGCCGGGGCGGACGACGGAAGGTCCGTTTGTCGGGGTCCCACGTCGAGTGGGAGGGTTGCGAAGGTTCGGCTTGGCGGTCGTTTGTCGCTCGTGGGTGTGCAACAGAAGGGAACGAGGTCGATCGGTCTTGTTGACTGTAGATTGGAATACGGACAAGATCGGGTAGGACCCGTGTAGGTTCCCCGAGGATTGAATGGGAAAGAAAGGAACGGGGGGTCGACGAGGTGGGATGGAAGAGAGAGAAACGAATGTGTAGCGTGCGACGAGCAAACAGACTGAAGGTGGGCGTCATAAATAGGCAGGCACGTGTCGTACAAGCACATATCGCCGTGTATCACAGGCAAGTACGAAGGGTGTACCTGCCGGCAGTTGACGACTTACACGCAAGAATCCCTGCACTCGCCAATCTGAATTGGGGTCCCACAGATCGATCTGCCAGGAACAGCATCTCCAGAACAGTGCCATAAACACGGTTAGTAACGACAACAGCAGTTGAACCCAAAGCCAAGTTTCCGAAGCGGACGGTTGGAATCCGCCGAGTATAACGTAACTATCGTATACAAAAAGCGACTGAATTCCCGGATTACACGAGATGCGGCTGCGGGACGTTGCTTCGAGTACATAGTGTTATTCAACCTTACCTTGTGTCACAATTGGCCTGTCAAGAACCAGCTTGTTTGATCTATCAGGCTTGTGTCGAGGTTGATGTGAATTTGGGATCCAAAAAACATCGAAACTCAAGGGATGGCGAGCGCAAAGGCACTGGATGTTGACAAAAAAAAAAAGTGATCCAAAGTTTCCGACCGGAGTAACCTGCCGCCGGGCCTACATGATCGTTGTACAGCTAATGTCAAGAGTCGGCAGATTTGATCAGCTCGGCTTGAGGTTGAGGGCATCAACTTGGAGGGGTGATGTTCCTTATTGGTATCTAAGCTGAACGTTTTATATACTACCATCTAAATCTCCCACGATCCGTATGCAGACCAACATCTCTACCCGTGTCACAAATGCACCGTCAAATAACGCCCGCAAATACGCCCCCCGCATTGCCCTGTTTTATCTTTTAGTACAGACATACACATATCATGCCACTCGTTCCCGGCCATCATCTCACTCGAGATGAGCGAACTGCCTCTCCTCTTCCACATCGATATCGACATCCTCCAGGGTGCGCGACACCAGTTCCGAATAGCCCGGCCGGAACGGCCACTTCATCCACGCCTCGGTGACCTCGACGAGCTGTTCCTGGGTCATAATCCGTGGCGACAGCTCGACGAGGCCCGGGGGGACGCCGCCGCGGCGCGGGTCGAAGAGGATGGGGCAGCGAGGCACGAGGTCGTCGCCGGCGCCGGGCGAGATGTTGTTGAGCGACCTCGTGATGGGGTCGATGGGCCGCTGCACTAGGCCGCGTAAGATCAGGTCGAACGTGTCGCCGCCGCGGGTCGATTTCTGGCCCATGTCGCGCAGAATGGAGGGTGCCGCCTTGGGCTGGATGTCTAGCAGCCCGCAGGGAACTTGGGGGAAGAAGTCGCTCGGGGCCGCGCGCAGGGGCTCGACGTAGCGGCGGTCCCAGTTCAAGATGGGGGGATCCTGTCGGAGGATGTGTATGTTGTCGCGCTGGAGGATGAGGTCGCTGTGGAAAGCTTTCTCGAGCGCGTAGACCTTCTGCGACCACTGTGAGCCGAGTGCGGCGGCCTGCGTTAGTAGCTGCTCGTCCGAGCCGGCATCAATATAAGCCTGGACGGCCGCATCGTACTCTTTCATCATCTCGACGACGATGCCGGAGCGCCTGGTGGTATGGGTCAGCAAATACTGAAGCGTTTTGTAACGCTTGTATTCCGCAGACTTCTTCTCGAACTCCCCGGCCTGGAAGGCCTCATCCAACGTTTTCAGCTCGGCTAGGAATGGCCGCCCCATATTGCGCTTGGGGTCGAGCGGGTCCGTCCCGTCCAGTTCCGTGGCCGCTAGATAGTCTAGCACATGCTGCGGTTCCCGCCCCGGCGGGATCACGAATCCAGTTTGGCGCATCCGTTCGAGCGTTCGCCTCGTGCTCTCGTGGTTGAGGGCTTCGTCGCGGCGGAACCAGGCGGCGGATCGGACCTCGGCGGCGTCTTCAGCCTCAGCGCCAACGATCTCGCACAACCAGTCGGTCGATATCTCGGACTCAATAGCCATCTTCTTCCGCCGCTGGACCGTGCGCGGCAGCACCGACCCCTTTTCCGAATCTTCGGTCCATATGAACATGCGCACGAGGCCGTACTTCTGGAAGACCGACCCCTGGCGGATGGCGGCGAGCAGCTGGTAGAGCACGAGTTGGGCGAGGCTCTCGAAGGACCGGAACTTGCGCTTCGGGTACATGCACAGATTCACAGTGACAAGGAGGGTGTCGTTGCGCTCTGGTGTCTCGTCGGAAGTGTACTTGCGTTCGACCTGGTGCGGCAGCACCGCCGGGCTCAGGATCCTGTTTAGCTGCTCCCACACGATGCCGGACTCGGGGAGGAGTTTGGTGCCGGGCCGCTCGAGCAGCGGGCCGAGGAACGGCTTGTAGAACTCTTCGTCTGGCTCCATCAGGAGATGCGAGCGTGGCTGGAGCTCGTCGTGCAGCTTTTGGCTCCAGATGCCGACGCCCGGGAAGATGTCGACGAGATCGCAGCCCTTGTGGCGGGCCAGGGTTGGTTTGAGGTAGTTGATAACATCGTCGCATAGTTCCTCGTTGACGACGTTGACGCGGTGTCTATCCTTGTTCGTCCCCTTGCGTTTACCCCCGCGCATCGCGGACCAGGAGCCCTCCTTGGAAAGTTTTTCGGCAACCTCGTTCTGTCCCTTTAGAATTACAGTCCACTTGGGCTTGGTAGCTGTGGCAAGGTTGGCCTGTTGCGCGGCCACGCAGCGCGTTGCGCGTGGGAGGAGTATTCTGCCCACATGGCCGCGGAGTGCGTACATGGGGACGAGAGGCGTGTAAAGGATTGGCGGGACACGGCAGCGAGGAACGCGACGGGTTGTAGCAGCAGCACATGTCGAGTCCAAAAAGTTGTCACATCCAGCCAATTCTGCCGCCAGAGACCGCTTGGCCGACGGCGTGGTGGGGTGGCTTGCGACCGCGATAAGGGTTAGGGTGAATCAATAACTACAGCGCCCCCCCTCAGCAAGCATTCGCATTAAAGACAAAAGGTCAAATATCAGCAGCAGGCTAACATGATCGTATTCCAGTTAGAACCAAGTAAAATAACCAAAACCAAATATGGAATCTTCCCATCCAAAAAAACGCCTAAACCAACAAAAGAAACCCAACCATAACCAACTTACATGTCACATCTTACACAGCCAACCCACCCCCATCCCTCGTCCTCCCATCCATATCTATAACCACATCCATATCCGTCACCCTCATCCCCGCCCTCCTCACAGGACTCAATAACCCTCCACCTACACTAGGCAACGGCAGGGTCAACTCCTCAGGCAACCGAAACCGCGGCGTCCGCGGCACCCACTCCCTCTCCCTCTCCCTCTCGTTCCTCGCACCCCTCCCCTCGCCCCCCTCCCCGCCAGCCACCACAACCCCAACCGGCGTCACCGGCTCCCCAGCCCCTCTCCTCCTCGCCACATACGACTCACTGGCCGCCAACCGCGCCAACTTCCTCAACACCCTCTCCAACCGAAACCGTGCCCCATACACCGGACTCAACAACCCCGCCACACCCCCACCACCCACGCCAACACCAACCCCGCCGCCCACAGCAGCATGCTGCGCAACAATCACATCCGGGTCATACGTCCCCAACAACGAAGTCCAGCGCTTCCACAGGCGGAAGCGGTTGGCCGCGAGGGTGGTGAGTAAAGGGTGCTGCGGGAGGAAGTAGCGGAAGGGCAGCGGGGAGAGGAGGTGGTGGATGAGGTAGGTGACGGCGTAGTGCAGGAAGGGGTGGGCGGACATGATGAGGTGGCGTTGGGAGGAGACGGTGGGCGGGGGGTGCCAGTGGAGGGCGGTTTCGAGTTTGAGGAGGGTGGTGGTTGTGGTTGTGGGGGAGGGGGTGGTGGTGGTGGTGGTTGGGGAGGTGAGGGAGGTGAGGGAGGTGGTGAGGGGGGGTTTGCGGCGGCGGCGTGCGCCGTGGCCGAGGGATTCGAAATCTCGCATGTTGAGGTAGGTCAGGCAGGCGCGGAGGAGGGTGTAGTGGGTGATGTCGAGGAAGTCGGCGATGGGGAGGGTGGCGGGGATGGAGGGGTTGTTGGCGGCGAGGCAGGTGAATCCCCGGCCGGAGAGGAAGAAGCTTCGGACGGAGGCGTGGATGGTGTGGACGCGCTGTAGGCCGAGAGTTTCCTTCGCGGTAGATTGGCGGTTGTTGTGGGTGTCGGATTTGAGTTCCAGGAGGCCGATGGAGCGAGCTCGTAGCCAGCGGTGGAATTGGTAGGGCGTGTCGGAGGAGATCTCGGAATTGCGCAGTTGGCGGAGTTCGCGCATCGAGAAGGGCATCCCGATATCGAACGCCATGAGCGGGCCTAATCGCTCAAAAAGGGCGAAGGGGTTGGGTTCGGTGAGCCTGATGGCGAGGAACAGGTCGTTGAGGCGCATCGGCTCGGCGGCGCAGATCACCCACTGGAAGAGAAGCAGCGACTCGGCTCGCTCTCTCTCGTTCAAGGTCGAGAGCATCCACTCGTAGAGGCCGTGGAGGTCACCGGGTACTTCCTCCAGAGTGTACTCGATCATCTCCTGCGTGGCGCCCTCCATGATGGCTGCATTCAAGATGTTGACCACGATCTCCGCCCACAGGAACACGCCCGCCGCCTTCTGTCCGATCCGGATGACGGTCCGGTTCCTCTCTTCCCACTCAGCCACTAAGTTCAAGTTGACATACCGCAGGACGTCGTCGGTGTTGCGCAGGTGCATGGGGATGCTGATCACGTTCTCCTCCTCGATGATTTCCGGATGGTAGCCGCTCGCAACGCAGATGCTGAAGTCTGAGTTGTGCGCAAGATGCGACAAGCGACCGATCAGCTCGTGCACGTAGCTGGGACATGCATCGTCCGCGATTTCGACGAAAATGAAGGCTCTCCTAGTCGCCGTCTCAATCTTTTGGTTGACGTAATAGTCAGCAAAGAAGGAGACAATCTGTGCGTCGTCGAGCCGGCGTGGGTCGCTTCGTGGTTGGTTGTACAGCGCTAAGAGTGCCCTTCGGAGACGCGGATCGTGAAGGAAAAGTTGAGAGAGGATGCTACGGTAGATACCGGCTAGGCTTGTGCTTTGCCGACCGGGTGAGTCTTTTGTTTCCTTGTCAGCCTCAGCCGTGGCCCATATGAACGAGGCGCCGGCTGGCCCCCACTGCCGTTCTAGTCTTCTCCGCAGGGACCTAAGGAGGACTGTTTTGCCACATCCGGGTTCTCCCCGGATCCAAAGAATTTTGTGCTTGTTTGGCCCGTTTCGATGGTGCCAGGTCTGGAAGTCGTGCAGGTCGTCCAGCCAGAGGCAGCTGCCCGGGTAGGGTGATGGTGCGAGGGTTTCAGGGGGTGCCGATGGCAGTTGTGCAAGAGCCGAAAGGCATTCTGTGCGTGTCAGCTTGAGGTCCTTGGTATGCTGTGTGCATTCGGTACTCACCAGTTTCCTTGACATTCGGCACATGACGCTAGAAACCGTCAGCTAGGTATTGACACAACACCATCCGGAACGAACTTACACCATCCTCCTCTGCCGTGATGAACGCGGCCAGGGTTTTGGCTAAAGCACGGTATCCCCTGTCCTCTGCGGACCCGAACTTGCAGATATTGTCATGCAAGGCGTAGATGGTCTCTGCATGTTCCCTGGGGTCTCCAATGAAGCTCGCAAGTCGCCGGATTGTCTGTTGTCATTCAGCGAGGGTCTCCCAATGCGCATGAGCAGCTCTACTCACCGTTTCCGCCCTGAGCTCCGGGTGCTGGTAGCTCGGAATGGTGGACTCCTGAAAGGTTTTCACCTTAAAATTGTAATCATTCCACAACCGTATAAACGTTTGGCGGCTCAGCTCCACCTGGGCGCTGTTGGTTCCGCAAAGCTCGTGAAGCACAGGGTCACTGGGGTCGATGGGTAGAGTGATGCTGGCCATGCTTAGGATGGCATCTCCCAAATTGCAATGTTCGGTGCCGCGATGTGGACCGCCGAGGAATATGACGGCCGACGTCGATAGTAGGATCCCTTTGAGGGGCCCATCGCGCTCGGCTTCGGACAGTCGGAGAAGCTACACATATCAGACGAGCAAGTGGGGAAGTTTCGGGGCACATTACCTCCTTGACTAGAAGTCCTCCCGTGGAATGGGCGATAAAGACTATTGGCCGCGCTCCTGCGCCCATCTCGGCTCTGGTGCTCGCGAGCTCAACTAGCAGCTCCTCTGCATGCGCAAAGATGTCGCCCTCACCGCGGAGTGGCTTCTTGTCAGCGGCAAGTGTGTGATAGCCCCAGGTGAATACTCGCGCGTTGGGACACGACGCAGGCAAGAAACTGAGCGGCCAGTATGACTCGACATTGGGTTCAGCATACAGATCGACAGGGTCAGCTAGACCACCAATCGCTAGTTTCGACGGTGACATTGTTGCCGCCTTGCGCACGAGTCCTTTTGGACCCCCGCCAAAAACCGGCTTGATGGGCTCAGCAAAGCCATTGAGGTTGAGTCTGGATGATGACTTGGTCGAGTTCTTCCAGAGCAGTGTCTTGGATCTGCTCGGAGGCCGCCGTGGTTTGGAGAGTAGGGGTTCTGAGTTTGAACGGAGCAACGGTGATGATTGCGGTAGTTTTGTTAGCCTTCTCTGGATGCCTGGGTAGGGCGCTGCCGCCTTCGGAGCAGCCGATGGTGTCTGCTGCTGCTGAGGCTCGAGCTTCCATGATCGGACAGGATGCCCCCCGACACCATGAACAAGAACAATGCTGTGCCCACCGCGGTCAGTGACGTCCTCGGGAATTGCAAGACGCCGTCACGTACTCAACTGCTGGGTCGATGGGCCAGTCTGGCTCATACAAGAGCGTAAGACCGACGGGCTTGATGGCGTCCTCGCTCACCTTCATTTTTGTCGTCGTCTAACAAACATCACACTCCACATGGACTAGGTGATATTGCAGGGTTGTGTTGCAGGCTAGGGACATGGCAGGAGCACCAATTTAGAGAGACGACCGCACCCATGGCGGCAGGTATGACATCAAGAACTCTTGAACGGGGCGCAGCCGTAAAAGTGTCAAATTGAACACTCCATGAGCCCTTGGCCGGGCCGGCCTGTTCGTGGTCACATATCACGGTTATTATTATTAGGTTTCCCGTCCCGCGAATCACGACAGAGAGAGAGCGCGGTAAGATCTGGTGAAACGCCGTTGGCCTTGCCAATGTTTGCTCCACAGTGTTTTGCCTGTTGTTGAAGGGTGGTCAGAGACGGGCCGGCATGGCCAACTCGTCAACTGTGCCGCCCCTTGCCTCTTTCAGGCCAGGAAGACCCGGCCACTATAACCGAGTCGGCTGTTTCGCCGAGTTGAGAGGTCATGTTTGAGACAGTCTGTCAAAGAAAAGCAAGAAAGGGAAGGAATGCATTGTTGTGACGTATCGAGGTGCAATGCATTGGGGATGATCACGAAACATTGAGGCTCCGACCATGGTTGTATTTGACAGGGGGGAACTGGAGGAATTGAGTCGCAGTCTTGGGTAGTTTTCGTCCAAAATGATGTCAAGATCACGGCTGGCGTCGGTGTTAAAACCAGGCCATAAGAAACAAATGAGGAAAGAAATAATAAAGAATAAGAGAAGCTCAATGCACTCGGCTTGCGGGCCGTCACGCCCGCCATTCTTCATCACCAGCTGGGAAATTCCCGACGCGCACAGACGGGCGAAAGCAATGCCAGGATCGGAAGGTAAAGTGTCTCGATAGTACTGTGTATTGGAAGGCTGGCAGCCAATAGATGTGCTTGCAGTACGAGTGTGAGAGTGTGACTTGTTAGCTTCGAGCGGGTGTGTTGGTGAGATGTGAGACTCCCTCTCTCTTTTTTACATGCCTTTTTTGGTTGTCGGGGCCTTGAGTGTTGGTGGCGGTTGGAGATGACTGCTTGGCAGATGAGCTTCCCCTCAGGTCCCTTGCCCCGCTTCCACGTGGGGCGGCAATCCCATTTGGTGGCGGGCAGCAATGGAGAGCCGCCTGAACTTCTTGCGCCAAGCATCGACAAATAGTGGATGCAATGCATCTAGCGTACACCCAAGTCAAGTAGCCCATGATGGCGCCGTGGGGCCGTTTGTTGTGGGAAGTGTTCCTACGATTGGAGGTATGCCAAATAATCGATGAATCTATTCTTCAGGCGTTTATCCGCTAACCCATTCCAGAATGTTCTCGTCAGCCAAGTACGCCCATCGCCATGACCGCCATGATAGCCACCACGCTCGCTGTGTCTTCCCTCGCTGACTTTTCGCACTCGACAGATCCTCCGAAGCCCGGGTTTCCATCGAGGTGTCCGGCGAGTACATCGTACCGTCGAAGATATTCGCTACGGCCGTGATCCGGCCGATCCGTTACGGCAGGGAGAGGCGACGGGTAAGGGAACTTGTGTCGAAACCAGCGACCAGAAGTTGACATGCACGCAGCCGAGCCCAACCGATCTAGCAATTTCATAAAGTACTTTATTGAGGAACTGCGAAACCAAGCCCGCGGGAAGCCGACCAACCCTCCTCCTCCGACACCTCCGAAGAAGTGAATACGACCTGGCGTAATGATTGGAACTCGGTAGCAACCATAGCGAGCAAGATATCCGATGTTTATATTTCCCAATGCCAAGTACCTCCTTCCAACTCGCGCCGGCGCCTCCATGCCTTCGGTCCAGTCCTCGGTCCCAATCACCAACACCTCCGGCCGTTCCGCGCCGCTCGCAATCCATGGTCGGCTTGGGTTGAAGCTGGCGAGCCGGCTGTCGTTGCCCAACCAGCGCAGCCTGATACGACGACATCAACGTAATCGTGCCACGGCGGTCCACTGAACTGAATGCTCGCCCCATTTTAGGTTGCACCCGAGACTGGTCCAAGAGTCTAGGACTTTGCAATAGAGAAGAGTAAAGTGATCAGGGGCCGGGTTGTTGTTTCTCGGCTGTTTCTTAGCGTTTCATTGGCGATGTGGTCATAAAGTTCGGAATTACTCAGTCCATAATTGTGAGGCTGATCTAACGGCAGGTGGCACATGTTCACTGTTGGCGTAGCCAGCCACAAAGGCAAATAGACTAGGTTGGGATAAAAGACCGAGCTGGCTATGGAGTACTGACCACGGTGGGAGACAAGGCTAATTTGCAAACTAGAAACTGAAGAAGTCACACAATGAAGCCGGGAAGGGCAGGCTGAGTGGGTGATTGGGTCTACAAACCCGGCAAGGTTTTGATAGCACCATGATGGCCAGACAAGGCAATCCATCAGTACCTACCGAAAAACTTGCTCTCAGAGCACATCAGACCGTGCATGACCCAGGCACCATCCACAAAACATCACCACTCCCACGCGACATTGTATGTAACGCAGCCCAGCATAACTCATAACCAGCGTAACCCAGCCACCAC